AGTAATGGATTTCAAAATCACCTGCAATGGCACCTAACTTTCAATGATACAAGTGCTTCTACTGAAAACTACTAAACAAAATTTAGTAAAAAAAGAAGAATATACGCAGCAGACCTTTCTAATTCTTTTCCCTTAGCCCATTTATCATCTGAGCATTCGTAGCATAAATAATGAACCATACTAGTCCACATCATATCCTATTGTTTGTTATCGAAGAAGCCTAGAGTGCGCCGCAGTGCGAGGGCACTGTCATTTATAGAGTATCACACACATCCGCATCCTGTCGGAGTCAGCCGGTTTTTCCCCATAGGCGACATGCGCTTACTTCAATATAGTAGATGTATGTAATCGTATAAACTGTTTACGCATATGCTCCACCAACGTAGCCAGATCATAAGGACATGACATGCAACACAAATGAAGAGTAATAACTTATGAAACAGATTTGTGAGCCTTGCGCGATGACTATCGTTTTTAATGCGATTTATATTTTATACTGTACAAAAATATGATGCAGTCTGCCAATTTCCCAGTACTTCTTACTCAAGATGAATTAATGAATGAAGGAACATTACGAATGATACAATGTAATACTGAAATATAATGGATATCGGGATATCGGCCTGCGAAGAAAGAGACCTGAATGAAGTATTCCAAATGCTAGAGCAAGAAACACGAACATGAACCGAAGCTCCTGCGTATTGAAATAACGCGTATTGGAATGAAGACACGATTTGCCGAGGCATGCGTCGTTGTTGTTAGTTTTAGTTTTGCCTAACATGTTAGCTATGACGAAAAGCTCTTTTGTCGGCATCTCTGCCGCCTTCTTCATTCTAATACTACCATTGGCCTGGTGACCGAGGAGCAAAGTGGATGGGACGACAACATTAGGGGCACGCGGATGGTCAGGCGAACGGCGTCCACCTGCGTAAACCCGGCCGATTGCAAAAATATCTAACTGCCGCCAATTATGGCGTTATACTTCATATCCACAATTAACGTAATATTAGCTTGCGTTTTCTCCGCGGATTTTGCGTACGTTGCTGCGGACTCAGCGACTGGACTGAGGCAGGCGCTATCACTAGACAACTCCTTTAGTTGATGCGGAGGGTGATGATGATCATGGCAATTTGTTCGTTAACAAACAGTGGCTGTATGCCACATCTCGTTCGCATGCATGATAATTTTCTGTACCCGACTGTTATGATCTTACTATCAATGACAGAGAGGTTAGCAGGAATCAGAGACGTGAGTTCAGAAACGTGAGCGATCTGACCTTATTGAGGTCGCCAGGAACAAGCAGAGCCTTTGCGAAAAAATATTCATAATACAAACAGTAGATTCTAGTCAGTTTCTACGGAACCTAACATTGTCATCATCGGTCAATCGGAAAAAAAGTTTTCTGTCTATCACGCCGCCCTCTGGTCACAAAACACTGGCGACCGCCGGGCGACATTGACCACAAGGACCGTGAGTTCGCACGGAGCGAAAGTTTCCATACGTCGTATCACCCTCACCTGTGGCTTTTAGTCTGCAAAAGTGGTAAGTGCTATTATCATGTTGTAATGTTTACCGGTTGTCCAGCAATGGTATTTTTAGTTACCTGTCGGATGCCGGAACAGTCAAGAGATCTGTACGAGAAGTGTACGTGCTATGCTCGGTAAAGGAGAAGCATTGGATCAGGGGCGGAGTATCATGTTCATTTGATTTGTATACAAACATGTTTTTTTTTCAAGCGTATACATAGTTGTTCTGACACGAAAATGCCTGCCGCTTGCAACTGGCTGGGATGGGCTTAGAAAGTTAAACGTGTCATTATATTTAATCAGTTGATAAACTGATCGTACGCACAAGTGCTTCCGTACGGACAATCGAGAGACCGGTATTTTATTGATTCTAACTTTCTTTCTCATACAGTTCAACCACCTCACATTTTCCATTTCGTGGGTTGAATAGAATGTAATTGCAGTAGTCGGGTAATAAAATACGATTGTTTAGCAAGTAGTGCATAGAGCGCTGATACACAAGTCCTACTGACCAAAAAATTCATCACCTAAAAGTAACTTCTCTCAAAGATTAAATCATGTTCACTTTATAAGGCTCTTGTTAATTCGCCTACAACATGGTCATTGCGTATGCCACAGACGAATTTTACATAGAACAAATTTACCAAATATAAACGTTAAAGATGGCAAGCAGTTGATATCTGGTCCTTGCATGTTATTATGTTAGCTCTTCGGCAGCAAACAAATGCATAAAATTCAGATTGATTCATTTGTGACTTCATCATTTTCATATAGCAACATAAGTGCCGGCTGATACACCAAGTCGATGGGTCGCCAGAAGCACCGATACTGCACTGTGAAAGCTGACGTCCCAGATGCAACCCGGCCACTGAGTTGAAAGCAGTCAACTAGTTCTTTCCTTTCAACGATATTATTACTAGGGCAAATAGTCAGACAAGGATATAGATAGGTGGACGTTTGTTATAGCTTTCATTTTTCACTCATTGAATGGCTTATGCGCGCCTCGCTCCGCTCATTCATTCCTTTATTGAGTCATTGGGTTGTGCATTCATCGAGCTCATATTGACTCAGACTTCGGGCCCTTTTCAAGCCGAGCACAAGATCCGAGCAATCGTCGTAGTAAAGGCAACAAACTTGTTTTGCGATAACCTACTGCACTACCGTAACATGTCTTTATGAACAGGATGACTTGTCGCTACGGGACGAGCTGCGCAGGACAGTCGAGACGCGACGAAGCTTAACAAAGTTTCATTGCATGCTATACGAACGCATATGAAAAAGGAACATATTAAAACGTCGAACAGAAGAAGATCACGAAGTTGTTTCCTCAACGTTAGGACTGTTCGTGTTTTGACTTTCAACCCATCTTAGCATCGTGGACTCCGGACGAGACTGAAACGGATGGCAAAGCTGTCTTTATTATCCGTTACAATAAATGCCGCCGACGTATTGTCTGACTGTCATTGTCGCAGTTGTAGAAAATAAGTCAACCTGATAGTGCTTTTGGCCTGAACGCTCCAGGATATTGCATATTCGCTACCTAACAATACAAATTAAGTAAAGAGCCTCCTCTATACGAAACAAAAAGAAAGCTGCTTTTGTAGGTAGAACCACTACTTGAGCTGATGTTTCTGATATAGGTGTGGGATGCACGAAAAAATCGGACGTAGGATAACTAACTTTTTAAGCTGTCCATTGAACGGTATCTTATCATGCTTCATTATGATGTCTCTCTCTCCCTCCCCCCTCTCTCTCTCTATAGATATATATAATATATATATATATATATATACCGTTCAATAGACAACTTAAAAAGTTAGTTATTCTACGTCTGGGTCAATTTTTTCGTGCACGCCACACTTATACAGAATATTCGTTTGAGTAGTAGTCCTACCTAAAGAATCAGCTTTCTTTTTGTTTCGTATAGAGGAGACTATTTAATTTGCATCGTCACGTAGCGCACACGCAAGATCTTCGAGCGTCCAGTTCATTCTTACGCAATGCTATTCACTTGCCACCATTTGTAATCCTATGCAAATATAATACGGTAAAGGCCACCAAGAATGTATGACCTTATTCACTTTATACCTATCCTCTACCATCACCAACATTTTATAATGAATTGATTGGGCATAAACTGAGCAATTACGCATCGATCGAGGGACTGCACAAATTATATCTGTCGTTAAGATGGAAAACGTCGTGCTCGAAGCAAAAGCAGTGACTGAGTCATTACACAAAACAATGTAAATGTTGGAGACAAACCAGCATTTTTTTCGGCATCTTATTAATACTATGAAGACGGTTACAGTGTGAAAATACTCAGGATGCATGTGTGTGTGCGCATAGCGAAGCAGCTGCTACTAGTTGCCAAGCGCAACCCATTGGAGAATTAGACATTGCTTCGTTGTTTCGTGGTTCTCGTCACTGACGATTTGAAAGAGACAAAGAATATTTATAAAGAAAATGTATAAGGAAAGGAACCGAAGAAAATATAGCGAAAATATAGCTAGACGATAGAAACGTGAAGACGGTACTGTCGAAAAAGGATAGATGTTAAAAAGATTTCTAGCATTAGGATGAATCTGTGACGGTTGAGTCTAATTTTAACTATGCAACACCGACACTCACGCGCTTACGCACACGTATGCAGCTAATGTTATACTTTCCTTTGGTTTAGATAGCAAACAAAAATGATTTCGTCTCACGGCCTCAGTGTCAGTGACATCAACCCGAAGGTGTCGTTGAGAGGGAAAAAACTAAGTGTGATAAAAAATCAAGTGAATTTAAATTCACCTTAAAATAGTGGTCATTCTCCTGTCCATTCGGGTCGGCGCGTATTACTTGGTGACCGTAGGAATATTCGGTCTATTTTCTTTATATGTGAAATAATCTAACTGAGGCTGGTAGTGATCAACGTCATCTTTGTATGTTTATATTGAAGGTGCTAGGAACGCTACTGTTAAGGAGTTGGAAACTTCATCACCAGAGCTTCATTAATTAAAAAAGTCGTTATTTAAAGCATCAAGGCATTGCATGGATAGTGTTATATTAGATTATCGTCACATGTGCGACTTTCGGAGGTCAAATTAAGGAAACCTTAATGAAAGCCGAGAATAATTAAACCTTATCGGTTCAAGTCCGAAAATCTAATCCGCCTTTAGATAGATACGCTCTGTAATAATTGTGGAAGATTACCGTTTACTACATGATGTGGGTTCCTTCGTGTTAGCTACGAGCTGTTATCGGTTGAAGCATTTACTGATGATAGTGCAAAACTATTGAAATAGACCTTATTATTGAAGGCAAATCTTTTGTCATCATATTATTTTTCAACATCACTATCGTGCCTATAAAACGACTTTTCTCGTTTTTGAAGGAGCAGTGATATATATATATATATATATATATATATATATATATATATATATTGATATTCATAATCATTATTCAGATTTTTATGCTTCCACATACCTCCATCTTGGCGTAGTTTGTTCGTCCTTACGATATCCGTTATGGTATCCTTAGGTGTATGTGAATGTTTCCAACGACCTGGTGGACTTAAATGGTGCCGCAATTTTCTAGCTATAATTCCACCTCGATTTGTTAATGAACAGAGACGATCGTCGCTGAAAGGCAAAATTCTCTAATGAATTCACATAAAACACGGATGTCGCACTCTTTCAGTAGTCCTCAGCGTACACTATAGACTCTTTTTTAGCACACTGTCCCGTACTTCGCCTGTCCGCAAAACTTCGATGCTACAGTAAACTACATTAAAAACACTAGAGAGAAGCTTGCGTCGATATTAGTTCAAGCCGCAGTGATAAATATCACGGGACATTTTTTGAACGTGATCTAATCCCCCTTTTCGAAATCGGCTTGACTAATTGTGGTAGCCACCATTGGCGCCACAGTCTGAAATGGCCACAGAATCGTAATCCGTTTTCAGGCGTTCTCCCTTTAACTGGCAGATTATCCTTAAGCGGTTTAGGAGATAACAATCGACAAAGCTAGATTAGAGACGCTATGACCCATCAGTGATTTCATCACCACGACTTCAGCGTCAATTCGTTGTCGCTCCACTCAAACCGAGAAACAAAATACAATCAACATTTCTATAAAAAAAAAAATCTAATAAGCCCAAGCGATAATAACTGCAAATGCGGTGACAACGTTACATTACGATGCTAGAATAGCACAGCCGGGCGCAACATAGTTTGCTGCTGACGGCAACGCAACCGCAATTGATACTAAGCAACTGGTGCGCGAACGCCATCAGTAATAGGTTTGTTACCGGCGTTGGTGTTGTAGAAGCGCGCGCAGACTGACTGAACTTACCATTCACTCCACTTGCCACTGAAAAGAGAGAGCGCTTTCTTACTTTTACCGTGGCACAATGACGGGGGCTATCCAACTGTCTTACCCTCTTCTCCTCAGTTCTGGTTTACCCCTGTGAGCCTTCTCGCACTTCGGCGCTTAGCTTAACTTAGCCGCGGACCCCTGCTACCATTTCGGTGTGCAGATGTGTGATCATGTATCTATGCGCACATTTGTCCATTACTCAGACACACATCTATTCTATTTAGCTTTTCTGTATACAACAAGGGAACTGCAATGGGATCACCGGCTGTTGATTTAATACATTAGACCACTACAAATATATTATGATATGGTATAGAATTATAGCTACAATGGAAAGTAGAGTTGGCATTTTTACTGAATTTTGAAGAAGGAAAGTGCCAGAAGAAGCGGCAGCGGAGCTCTGTATCTCCCGGCAGCACTGCAGTGATGCGGACAAACGACTTCGGAAAATTAACGGGGCCACAGTGTTAACAGTTTGTGGACGACGGCAAACGTATAAAAACAACGTCGCTACAGCGAAAAGCATGGTAAATGTATCATCACGGACATCAACATTACGACTAGTACTACAGTTATCATTACAATCATACTTTTCACAACAGGGTTATCCGGATCATTCGCCGTTCAACCCAACTAGACTCATATTTGTCTTTCTTGTCTTGATAATTCCTTCGGAGTTTATGCAAGTATTGCTGTTGTGTGGTGTTACCGCTGTTGTTGGGTTTAGTAACGCGGACCACATTTAAGATTGCTATCCATTAACGGAGGGCATCTTCGAGGTACGTTATCCTGACAATCATAACGGAATCAGTATAAATGAAATTCTTGTGGTATTTGTCCAGCGAAACGAGAAAGCAGATTCACGCAAACTTCATCATTAAATGAACCTCGACTTGAACGTAGCTGTATCTCACCGCTGTTCATACAACAGATACCATTCGTAGCAAATACTATGTTATAGCGTAACAGTATTGTACCTACCTGCTTATCGGCGATAAAGAACGTAAAACTCGAAACGTAGAAAGTAGACCATCTCGGTGGCCAGTGAAAAACATGATTTACCAACTTGAAGGCTTTCTGTTATGTGCTAGTTTCGAAATAGGCAAAATAAAAATTTCTCATAGCTTGCATATCAGAGGAAGTGATGAATGCAACATAAAATGATTAAGTAGAAAGGTGCCGGGCAAGAACTTCGTCAGCATAACTGTGCTTGATATCACGCTTGCGCTCGAGTCTCTGTCTGAATTTGGAAAAACTCAGTGATACTGCACGCTTTTTAGCCTAAAACCCAATACGGTTATCGAATAGATTTTGTTGATGCGGTATTATCTTAATTATGCGTAATATCGCATTTGAGAGAAATCAGTTAATATATTTGGTACCCAATTTAGCCCTGTTGAACGCTCTTTGAAAAATTGTTGAACATAGCCAGCGTACAGAATAAATTAGGAGCCTTCATCATGCAATTATCACTTAGAAATATTAACAACGAAGTCCACAAAATTTTTATCTTAAACATTGCCTCTTACAAGTACATCATCCTACGAAAAGATTTCTTACCACCGCATACAGTTATCAACGGATCCTCACAGCGTCTGTCGCTTCACACTTTATCTTCACACACTCTATCGCACTGCTCAACACCCAGATCACTAAATGGTTGTTAGAAAGCTTAAGTGTTCATAAGGTCCATAGAAAATCTTGGGTCATGAATTGAGGTAGAATTAAAAAAAGAGAAAGAGTTGGAAGTTTTGTGCACATCCGAAAATAGATTTTTTTTACTAATAACCAAAAAAAAATCAGAGTAACGTTCCAGACTAATATATGCATATTATAGTAGGCTAGGCTTTGTTGTATGGTAGTAAACAATATTTTCGACATTTTTTTTGTCGTTCATCGGGCCCACAAAGCTTAACCGGTGATGAAGACGATGTGCGCGATGAGTGTTCTAGCTGAAAATACTACTAGAAAGAACCTTGACAAAGTTAAGAATGGCGTTTTTGGGTTATTCAACGCATTTCGCTGACCCTCTTAGGTTGGGCGATAATCGCTTTCCATTACTCGTAGTACCGAAGTGAATCAGTGTCCATTGGATCCTCACCAGACCCTCAACGTATTTGCTGGGTTGTTTTCACGGTTTAACAACAACGTCGATGTCATAACAATATATCTTTTTACCCGACTTACCTCTAGTTGGGGGTCTGTAATTAAAATAAAATTTTGTAATTTAGAACAGAACCATTCTGTGTACTTTCCACTGATATCGCATGGTGTACCGAATTTTAAATTAATAAATATACCACTCCAATGTCCCGTATTGGAAAAAGTCCCGTTACGCAAAAAGCACGTATTAGAATTATCTCGACATATTATTATATGCAAATTTATGTATATATAGAGTCCATACACATGAAAGCCAAATATGCTTATTTATTAACGCCAAGATTACAGAATAAAAAACAAGTTTCATGATAATACACATATACAGAAAAATATTTGTTTTCCATTATACACAGCGTCCTTTGTTAGTACAGTTTGTCCAAGTTTCCACTACAGCGCAGTTCTGTTGTGTAGGGTGATATAATGTCAGGAGCCGCTTACGCTACGCAGATTGGCCAGACGTTACACTTTTTACAAGACTTTCCACCCACGGAATCAACAGGAGAATCTGTTGAAATGAATGGAATCTACTACTATATGACCCTAATTTATAACGGATAGTTAAGCATAACATCCTGCCTGGCGAGCTCGAGCAACATAGGATCATCAAAGAATTTGTTAATAGAAACATCTTCCGAAAGGCCTTTGCGCCGGCGCGTCTTCATCATGAACTCTCTAGCCAGATGGGGCGCTGGTTGCGGCTCGAGGGGTCGTATTTGTATACTCTTGTCAAGCGGATCTCCAGGGACGATTTGCCAATGGTGGAACATGGACAGACAAAACGCTTGGCCTTGGGTATGCGTTCTTAAATCCGTCTCAAAACCGAATGAATCAATAGCCGGAAGGAAAGCCTTGATTGAGTAGAGCGGAGATCCAGGCATTGGGGCATCCTGAGTTACATGACCTCTTCGGCGAGCCAGCACAGTGTACACTGCTGACACACAGTCAGCCGGGGCATGAACCTCAACGTAATAATATGGTTCCATGAGACGTGGAGTAGCCAGGAGGAAGGCCGAGTATGCCACTCGTCTAGCGGTAGGAATAACTTGACCCCCACCTCGATGGATACTCTCCGGCGCCACTACAGCATCAAGCAACTTGAATTTACAATTACGAATCGGCTCTTCACATAAAGGACCTTCTCTTACAGCCCACTGAAACCCTTGGACGACGCTGTCTCGTACTGATGACAACAACGTCTTATCTACCTCAGAAGGAAGCGTGTCGTCTACAAGGATATTCGGTCCCTGAGAATCTGGGCCGAATGCCCAAATAGATCGAGCAGCTAGAAGATCCCAATCATACTTGGTCTGAAAGAATTCACCTAGACGTTTTCGGTCCCAACCAATTTCAACTACTTGAGTTTCAATATCCTCAGCGATGCCTTTCTCCAGAGGTTCGGCAATCATTGTAAGCTTATTTTTCTTGTTAGGTGTTTCGGCGAAACATTTCAGTGACGATGTTTCGACGACGGTTTCGCAAAAAGCGACTACTGGGTCAGCCACCTTTATATCTATTTCCGAATACATTTTACGAAGATCGTGCATTACACAGTCGAGATAAAGCTCGCCTGTTCCAAAGATGACATGCTCACCGCTTTCTTCCACTTTAGTAGTTAGGAGAGGGTAACTCTTATTTACTTTACGCAGGCCGTCTAACATTTTGGGCAATTCCGACGGATTCACCGGTTCCACGGCTATTTTACACACGCTCTTTGTGAGGAACTTAAGAGGTCGGAAAATGTACAATGGGCATTTAATTTTCAGGTCGACAATTGTTGATGTCTTCACAATTGACGCCTCAACGCCCTCAATAAGTACCCAGTTTCCAGCCGGCACTCGATTCACCTCAATCTGATAACGGCTTTCATGAATCCACAATCGACCTACAGTCATAACTCGCGAATCCTCTTCATCCATTTGAGAGTAGCCTTCGCCCAGGACTCGCACCTGTTGGCCTGAATATAGTGTGCCGGAGAAAACGCGACCAAACACGTGGAAGCTAGTAGCGTCCTGCGATGAGTACTGCTTCGTGGTGTTAAGCAGCAGAGGTCCATTGGAGTCACATTTGAGGATTGATTTGCCCAAAAGCGCGTCTTGACCCTCTACGCTAATTGGACCTGAGAAAATTTGTTCGGCCCTGGGTAAAAGTACGCGATCGGGCGGCGGAACATGTTCTACCAGCATGTCGACAAAACCAGCAAAATTGTCGCCCATAAAACGTGAGCAGACCATCCGTAAAAGAGGCCGAATATTCATCTTCATTTCAGACTTGCTAAGACGTATACCAAGCTGATCAAGGAGACCCGGCAGATTACCATCAACATCGCCAACAACCTGTGCGAATAGTTTATATAGCGGCTCAAGTATAAATTCGACAAATGACCGCTGGGCAGAACCGTGCGGTGGTTTACGGCTGAATTTGCGAGTTTTAGCACTGAAGTACATGTCGCCCCAAAGCCGGCGAGCAAACTCCTTATATTCGAGGCCACCATGTGTATCGGCGTACATTTTGGCGAACGACTTCAAAGTAAAGCAAAGGTCGTATTGAGAGGAAGCGAAGCATACGTTACCTAATAATGGATTAAGAAGCCTTTCTTCGGGTTCTTCGGAATAAAGTACGATTAACGCATTGATTTCCTCGATAACGTTACGTAGCTTGTAGTAAGCATCGGCTGGAGGCAGCTTAAGTTCAAGCATCAGCCGATCGATTTTGTTAATACATAGAATGACCCGAACTTTCTCCTGGATACAGTGTTTAAGTATCTGCTCTGTTTGCAAGCAAATTCCCTCAGCCGCGTCGACAAATAGAACCGCGCCGTCGCACAGCCTAAGAGCTGCGGTCGCCTCATCCGAAAAGTTGACATGGCCTGGAGTATCCAGCAAATTCATGAGATATGACTTGCTTTTCACATCTTGCAAAACAAGTGACACAGGCGAGCTTTTAATGCTTACACCACGCTCTTGTTCTGTGTACAGGGTATCGGTGAAGCGCAGACTGCGACCCTCCCTGGCTCGAAAATGGGGGTGCGTCTTCTCGATAAGGCAATCGACGAATGTTGTCCTGCCATGATGCAGATGCCCGATCAACGCCACGTTTCGGATCAGCTCCGGCGTGTCCATGAGGTCAGCAAGAAACTCAAGATCGTACGTTGTATCTGGCAAATTTTGCTCGCTGTGAGCGAATTTCTTCTGTTTGATGGGCTGCACAATCGGTTCTGTAAGTGGTTGAGCATCTTCCTCCTGTACAATCGTCTCTACGTCCTCGCCGTATACCTCAACTGCAGTAGGATAATATTTCTTATCTTCGTGAAGAACAATCTGCATAGTTTCCTCTGTAACTTCTTCATCGGCGTCTCCTTTACCGACGTCGTCATCATCATCTGGCTCATCGCGTTCGTCTTCCTCCTCTTCAGACGACGACTCGAGGTCGGGACCAATGTAATTGCCAAACTCATCGTATAAATCTGAATGATCCATCACTGCAGATTGACGAAAGGCGTCAGACTCTTTGCTATTAATTATCAAACCTGAAAAACAAACAAAGTATTTAGATTGGTTAAATTTAGTGATATTGTGTCTGCCAGTATATTAGAATTGAATCAACGGTGGCAATAGAGGTATACATGAGCAAAAACTTACCTACTGACGTAATTACTGTTGTGAGATAAAAAATATACTTCTGTACAAATAATACTCTTTTCGGTTATCTTAGCAGAAATTAATAGAAAAATCGTTTTTTTAAAAATAAAAGAAGTAAAGGAGGCAACAAGAAACAAACAATACCAGACAGTTGATGAAACTCATGTACATACACTACATTAAATCAATGGTACAGTGTGTAACAAATGTCGTTAAAGGCTAAAAATTAAGTTTAAAAAATGGTCAGGAATGTGATAAGTTCGAAAGGCACATACTGACCTAATCAGTGATTTATGGAGCACAGAATGCGACTGCTAATCATAAGAACTAGTAATTAAGTATTATGGTCTAAGTTGCTCCTAATGTTCGAATTTATGTAAGAATTCGAAGAAACTGTTAATGCTGTGTCAATTATTATCTTGTAACCATATTTCAGCATGCGTTTTAACAACTAAAAATAACGACTGCAATATGTTCTTTCAATTAACATTTCCTAACTGATATTCTTAAAAAACTGCTCCCGAACTTTGACTTAGAAAAATGCCACAATAACGTCGTACTACAATTCCTGCAATTCTGATTTGCTTCAATTCACAAATGATTCACTACACAAAGACAATACCATTTGAGAAGTTTTAGACGGCACAATATTGGCTCTATATGTGGCTAATAGTATATAAAGCTCAGAATATTTAACCTACAAAGGGACATACCGGTAATCACTTTGTGGTCTTCTCCTAAACGTAAATCACCTAGTGGTCTACATAAATTTCCACTATGCGTGTGTTTACAACACCGTGCCGACTTGTTTTTGTCAAGTACGCGTCGTCTGCTAATACATTTAAACAAAACCCGCGCCAAGCTCTAATATTACCGCGCTTTATTATTGCTGTAGCTTGCCACTAACGGTTTTTTGGGATTATTCAGTGCAAACGCTTGTTTTTTTTTACTCATGTTAGATATTCTTAGCTCAAAGGCTATTTGCATGTGGGAAGCTAAGTAGTTCTACATAGTTCTAGTTGATTCAACGTTCTCGTATCACTGTATGTAATATTCATTATCCTCTATTAAGAAATTGTATGTGTATCCATTAATATTTAGTGCAAACGTCCGTTGTCCTTGACCAGCAACTTTATTTAGGTCGTTATTTACCGCGACCTCGACACTGAACATGCACTATTCTCTAAAATATTGATGGTACACGCAGTTTTGGGCACACCGCCTTGTGGGCTTTTTCGCATTCTCACAGTCTTTAGTTATGCCACTGCCGTACGTGTCTTCGCTTCAGGATGGTTTCCTAATGTCGCCTTGCTCCATGACGCTCCGAATGTTGCCTACCTGGCTTGCCGAGCGGCAATTGCCATCGCCCCTGGCTATACAGCGTCTTTACTACGTCCTCCTCGGTTCCTAGATCAGCTTTCAGCGTCATTTTGCTGCGGTGGTGTCACTGTACAATACAATGGAAATTGCAAACGTTCGTTGTCGTAGACGACCGACGACAGCGAGTTAAATGACGTAATAAGTCTTTATTAACTGCCTCTATGCTCGCCGAGTGGGAAGCGTTTCAGAGACACGATATAAGGGACTCATATCAAACAGATGGAATTTGAATAATTTTTATTAAAAACAGGGCTTGGTTAATCGACGTCACTATGTTCGACTAATCGCGACGATAGTATTTCTATAATTAGAATCTATACACATGGGTATCGTGCAATATTAGGTACTTCTGGCTTGTCGTATTGCTGAGATGTTTAATTTCCCCGCCATCAGATTAGACATTCTTCTGCGCCTTGCCTGTGTTGTTCCCAATGAATGAACAGAAGAAATTCGTTCATCCAGTGGTGAAAACGGTTTTGTGTGGCGCCAAGTGATTTGTGGCGACTAGTGGTAAAAAAATGAGTGGGCCGTTGCTTTCCCGGGAAAACGCGCCGCAGGAGAGCCGTGGTCCGTCGAGCAAGACCGAGATGGACCCAGAAACAGAATTATACAGACTTTTAGAACTTTTGGATGGTGGCGGCAATGAAAAACTAGTTGACGCGTACTTCAGGTAGGCTACTCAGTTCAAATTTGCCGTTCTTGTGTGCTGTCGATTACTACGTGTTCATATAGTATGCGCTGCTGTCAAGGCTAATTATGTATTTGTATTGCTATACTGAATATGAGTTTATCACTAGGGGCTTGCGTGAGATGTGAAGCTCTGAAGCTTGTAAGGATGTTCAACGATAGCTAAGTCGTAACGAGTACAGAATATAAATTGTGTGGGTCTGTAAATATTCTGTGTCAAGCTGTCGAATTCACATATTGAGGTTTGACGGTTTTCTTGCCGCCTTAAATACATATGTGCATTTTAACGCTATGTCTAGTACTATTATAGCAAATTGGGATAAATTTAAGAAGAGATTGCGTTACGTGTCCTCAAGAGATTTCAACGCATTACTGCTTGGTTAATAATACCGTTTTAGTATCCAAAAGCGTTCGTTACAGCTTCGTATTTAACATCACATGCAATTTATCTTTTTTTTGCTTCGTTTACCACTTATAAAGGCTCTCCTTTGAGTCCTTTAGTAATGGTTCAAATGAATTCTGTTTTCTATTTTTAGTCTACAAATATATATATATATATATATATATATATATATATATTTGTAATGGCGAAGCATTAGTATTCTTTTTCGAACATCAGCTTGCCTGTTTATAGCTATAGAGATATAAACGCTTAACATCGTTGATACGGGATATAACACTCGGCTGAATATTCACGTATGTGTTTCAGCATGCGGCCTTAAGCAGCTCACGCTTAACGCGGGTCGTCACTGTAACTTTGCGACGCCTACTTTACTTGCTCGAACCGCAACTTTTTTTCGGCTGCCGGAACCGCGTGCGACAGTATACGCGCACGCACTTAATCATTGTTTGTAACGGTCGAATTAAGAAATAATAGTTGTGGGCGAAGTTTTCCTAAATACTTAAAGGCTTTACCATAAACTTGGCCAATATTTTGTCCATCCTCGAATCGACCAGCCTCTCGACTTCGACGATTGACTCTTGATGACGCACTACAATTCATTATGATTTATTTGGTAACACTTGGTCCTTATATAGCAATGGAAATGTTCGTACGGGCTGTAATAATATTACGCCACACAATATGAAAGCATGATTAGTACAGAGCGCGTACGGTACACTTTTTATTTGTTATGCTAAACTGAATCTGTATAGCTTGAGCTGTTTTACCGCAGCGTCTAATATTAATACATTATCTGCTCTAGGATACACACGAGGTGTGCATTTAGTTTAGGCCATAGGCTGCAATCGTTATCTGCATTTTTAGTCACTCGACAGGATGACTTACGATTTTCTGTTATATATGAAATTTCGCTCAGATACCCTTTAATTGAAAAGAGTTTAAAAGAAGATTATTTGTACTATGACATAGACGCGAGATTCACGTAAGTGTTAATGTTAGAGGAAGGGCCTGTTATCACCATTACTATCGATACACAATTTCAATAACCGACCTTCAATTCTGCATCATCTTCTTGTTTTGTGATATTTTCTGTTTGATAACAGCTTTTTGTTGTTCTGCTCAAAGAATATGCACCACTTGCGTCATCTGCTGACCGCAACTCTTCTTAAGCCTCACTGCCTCCGCCTTTTTAAGGAATATCGCAGCAACAAGGAGCGACTCCGCAACGATCCCCGATTCGTGCAGTGCATGATGTGGTTTGGTTTGTTCCAGCCTCGCATGTACAAAGATGTTGTCGACAAAGGCATTGGCGATCGATGTGCTGTTACCTTTGTTATGTATGCGAAAAGTCTTGCAAAGCAAGGCGATTTACCGGCCGCTGTTGGTGCCATCAAGAAAGGCCTTGATAACTGTGCCCTACCCATATCGTACCTCGAGGTGAGAGCCGTTAGAGATATGGATATGCAAATTAAAAAGTAGTTAATGGCGATATACTTTTTTCTTTGTGCGCAAAGTATCACAGACCCTAACCTGTTTTTCTTTTATGTTAGGATACATTGCGAGAGCTTCAAGGAAACAATTCTTCGACTGCGCTTCAGCCAAAAGAAACTGGCTTAACCGACCACGCAATAACCCCTGTACAAAATATCGTAATTCCCATCGATCCCCATATGAGGTCCTATGGTGAACTCTTTAATTTCTTTATTTATTTATATATTTATAAAATCCTATTGATTTCTATTTTCGTTGTTAAACGTAGTATTCGCAAAACGCAAGTTAGTAACAAACATTTATAAGCCATATTCATTAGATATAAGCAAAAAGTGTTTACTTTTTTTTTTATAGGTACACTGCAGAGGATCGTGATTTTGCTCCGGACCAAGTTCGTACATACGATTTTCGTGCTGTTTATCCAGAGTGTAACCCGGAAGAATTTCAGTTCGAAGAGAGGCGGTTGCACCGTTGGCTAGAAAAGAAAAAAATCGAAGAAGAGTCGAAAGCCACCCAAAATGTGCTCAAAGAAAAGACAGAAATCATCGAGAGTTTACGTGAAACAATCGCTATACTACGTCAAGAGAAAACACTATTGACCGCCACGAATAAACGTGACAACGAAAATAATAGTTATACTACTGGGCATAGGCAAATGGTTTTAGCCGCAAGCAAACCGTCGTGTCCCGTTTCATCCGAACAACGCTCGGTGGTCCTCGATGACAACCGGATCACGGAAACCTCCGTGGCCTTGACAAGCACCCAAAAATCTATCACTGACCGACTCCATGAAGAACAAAAGCAAGATACGCAGCAGGGAAACGACGAAGTATCTTCTTTGTTGATTAAGAATTCTCATCGAGAGAATTCGATTCGTTGCGAGTCTACAATGGCCATGAACAGTCGTACCGAAATGATGACTCGGGATATGCGCGAACTGTTCTGGAATGGAACTCTCAATTCCACAAACATGGCGCCGAGTGCTGAGGCAACGCCATCGAAGGCCGCACACGAGGACCGCAGCACTGGTATGGAAGCAAATTCAAGTGGTGTGTCGCACTCGGAACGGCAACAGGATAGACTTCAGGTCTTTGAAGAAAATGTCGCTGCGCCATGTCTACACTCAGTCACTTCGACCGTGAATAAGATCGCCGTATTCGAAGAAAATGATGGTGGAGCTAAAAGAAAAGCGGCGGAGATAATCGCACCCGCTAAACGTTTTGCCGCATGTGCTGGTAAGTGGCAGGTAACATCTTTAATATGACTCATAGAAGAGTCAGTAAAACATATGGACACATGAACGCGCGCTCATATTAGCTACAAGCCTCAAGAAAAAATTAAACGTGTGGAAGAAGTTCATTTTAGGCTTTCAATCAGCACGCTTAACGCGTGCTTTTTGAAACTTGATGTTTAAAATAACCCTTGCAAACATTCATTTATTAAAAAAACAGATATGACATAATAATAACAAAGGTAATATTGATTGATAGATGAAAACCAGGCAGGTCCTTCTAATCGGCAGGCGGACCTGCTTCAGCAACCCAAACTGAAGGTCTTCGACGAAAACCCCAATCCATCATTATCTGCGAAAGACGATGAAGACAAGGAGAATATCGCGCCAAAAGGGTACCAACAGCCGCCCCCACATTCACGACGCCTTAGCGGTGTTCTTGTTGACGCCGAAGGATTTGAGACTGCTCCACAGCAGTCACTCGAAGAATCGGAAGAATCATTGGCCCCTTCACCAGCTAGCTCTGATGTGCCTGTAGTTGATGAGGACCTTGGTGTAGGACCTTTGGAAGCTGCTGAAGAGCCACCTGGAAGATTCAACGCGTCGACGCCGACTAAGAATACGCCCGGCGCCCATGAGGTGACCTGGCGGGTAACCGAGGTCCTCCGGGGAAATATACTTCCTCCTATGATGCTTACTGAAGGAGATGGGGAGACTTGTCCATCGCCCGGGGAAGGCTCAGGCAAGCGAATGCCGATACACTCGAGTGTGCGGCACCTTAGTACCATCCTTGAGGCAAGCAAGGAGTCAGGGTCGTCTGGAAGCTCAAACTCTCTGGGTACACCGTCGCTGGCGAGGCCAGCATTTGCTATTTCACAATGTGACGACAGCATGTCGGCTAGTCAGTTAGACCCAATTCTGTCAGATCCTTTTAACCCCGCCCATAGAAACAAAGTTATTCTGGGCAGCAAAATCGTTTATGAGACAGTTACAGGAAATTTGCCGCACATGAAAAAGAAGACAAGAATACAATACCGAGGAGGGTATAGCGCAACAATTGTTAAAATGATTGGCGAGGGCGGATTTGCGAAGGTGAGTTATGACATAACGAAGTGATCGACAGTTACGCCATGAGAACAAGTTTTAGAACGTCTAGTAAACTTTACAGTAAAAGCGTGTTTTATATAGATTGACATATGTGCATTCCGTTTGCAGGTGTATTTTGCTCAGCGAGAACTGGACGATGAGGAAGATGCTATGATAAACGGTTACAATGAGCCGACCACATGCATAGTTCGCGACGATCAAGCGGCCATCAAGATCACTAAGGAGATTACAGCCGGGCTGTGGGAATTTTACATTCTCAATACTGTATCTTCCCGATTAACGCGATTGGCCGGCCATCCCTGCATTCGCAAGAGTATTCCAGAACCACATTGTGCGGCTTATTATCAAGATGGTTTTCTGATCAGTTTACCCTTTCTTCCGTACGGCTCACTATTGGACCTCGTCAACAGTTTTGAAAAGGCGGTACCCGAGGAACTAGCACGTTACTTTGTGCTTGAGCTTATGATTATAATAATGCGATTACACGAGACTGGCATCATTCATGGCGACCTAAAACCGGATAACGTACTCTTCCGTAAGGTGCCTACAATGCATATGGTTAACGAACTACGCCAAAAGACCCAGTGCATTTGCTTGATCGATTTTGGCCAGGCAATCGACGTGAAGACATTCCCGGCGGGTACGACATTTTCCCGCGTCGTGCTTCGAGAATCACATCGCTGTGCTGCAATGCGTGAAGGCCGGGATTGGCTCTACGATTTTGACTGGTTTGGCGTAGCGAATTGTGCACACACGCTACTGTTCGGTGAATACATCGAAATAGAAAAGAAACCTAGTGGTGATTACGGCATTAAGCGCCGCATACCCCGATACTGGGCTAATGATTGGTGGGACGAACTGTTCTCAAGTTTGCTAAATATGAATACGACGACGTCGCTGCCCGGTCAACCAGATAATCCTGTGAAAAAAATAATCGAGCTTGGCGGGGATACTCTTTGTGACAGAAAGTCAGCTACAGCATTATCACTCAAACTAATCAATCTTAATACGATGATGTCTAGCAAAAGGCGCCCATAGTCTGTTATACGTAAAGTATATACTGCAAAAAATATATATTACTGTCGATTCATTGGGGACCAGAAGCTCGTGGGTCTTATAACAGGTTTTTGTCAGACCGTGTTGTTCAGGACGACCGTATATTCGAAGTTGGATTGTTATAAAAATTTAATAATCTAAAAAAAACAGTAAAAGAATACTAATCAACAAGGTATTTACCGGAAAAAGCGATTTCGGAACGATTTAAAGGGATGTACTTCCCCGTTGTGTGAATAGTAAGTGGTGGAGAAAAAACCCAATTTGGACAACCTTATAGTTTATTCGTGAAGGGACGAAAAAACGTCATTTAGGAAATACTAAAAAATGCAGAATCAATTCTGTTACATAATTATATGAAAGATGACATATGCCTAAATAAAAGGTATACAGTGACCCCTATTAATACTAATCTGATTTCTCGTCACTCTTATTTGCAGCGTACATGAGACTGTTAGGAATAGGTACGTTGAGCACATCGATAAAGATTACCGTACGTGCTATGGGTTGTTACGTTATGTCTAAGTTACGTTAGGGCTTTTTGAAGAATCGACAGTTGTATCCAAAGAAGCTATACAGTGGTGGAAACCATACAGTGGTGGAAACCGGTTCATACGATACTAAGTGATTTTTGACAGCCAAAACCTAATAACATTAGCAGGTTATTCGTGATCTGGCTGGGAAAACGTGGGAAAGCCGTAGGCCATCAACCAAAACCGCAATCTATTCTGAGATCATAGATTTTACAGAACATGCGGGCGGAACACCGGTACACGTGTATTTCAGGTGGGTCTCTAGTTCGAATTTGCTCTTTCTATTTAATGACGGTCACGGAAGTATGAGCAAACCTTCATGGCGCTTGCAGTGAATAATAGCTTTACCGAGTTGAAGCTCCGCTTAAATTCAAAGGGCGCACAGGAACCATGTTTCGTCTATTCGTATATTGTGGTACTTTGAGTGAGTATAATTCTGCAAATGGGTTGTAAATTTTATAGTATTTGCTTCAACCGACAAATGGTACGTCCGATTCTGCAATTAACCACATATGTGCTCTATACTTTTTTTTTATTTTTTTATTTATAATTATAATAATAATTTTTATTTATAAGGTATATTTTTTTATCTGTTTGTGAAACTTCACGGAGATCCTTCTCCATATGTCCTTCGACTAAAAACGCCCTATTTGGAAAGGAATTGGGTGTGTTACTGAGAAATTTCTCCAGCCAAATGTACCTATAACTCAAACAAGGGACTGATTAAGTAGACTAAGGAAGATTATGAAAACTCATCAGTTTTCGTTTGTTACTGGAGCTCAAGATGCTCGCACGAAAGCAAAGCAAAGCAAAACAAACAAAAATACATGCAAATGACGTTTAACTGCTAAATACGATTTGCAACATCTGTAATTTTGGATGATAACAGACGCGGTGAATATTTATTCTAATATTCTTAACAAATTCCAGTTTTAACTTACAAATGAAGGTAAGCCTGAGTACAGCAATCGAGTGTTTAGTAAAGTTATTAACTGTGATACAACCTGCACGAGAAGTCGATGTAATATTACAAAGCAAAGTGATCCAAATACCTCCACATGTTACGTCGCACGTTTAAAGTAAACACATATATGTATGCTCAGAGAACATCGCTGAACTTTAGTTACCTTTTCATACAACCGAACCAATTCAACGTACGGATAATCGGCCTGTCCGTAATGTCGTTTCATTTATAATTCGTCTGCTCAATATTTTTGCCTCGTTATTCATCTGGTGCGGTGTCTCTATTCGATTTTATTGAATCTCGATACTGTCATTGTTTCGCAATTGTAATAACATACATGCACAGCTTCACTTTCCTTCGTTAATGATGCTCTATGCCCATATGTCCATATTCTTACATCTCATTTCTCCTGTTCCTGTTTCATTCCGCACTCTATTAATATAAAATGTAAATACAAGATGTAATAAGTTAATCCTAATATATTTGTATGTATATATTATATAATACGAAAAAATATAAACACGATACACATTTCTGTAACTCGCTCCTTTCCGTGGCTTTAATTATCGTTTTATTTTGAATGCGACTCGATTTTTTGTCAGTATTCCACCCTTGTTTGTTTGTCGTCATTACCACAGCAATAGCATGAATTTCTGTGGATCCGTTCGCAAGTATATCTGCGATCCGGGAAACAGTTGTTTAGCGTATAGATGCACTATTATACTTATTTCAATTGGTAGGCTAAAAAATAACTCGTCAGTCCACGGTCATTTCTGCAAAAAACAGTTTTCTTCTATCTTAGTTGTGGCAGAAACGTTATAAGTAGGTATATAGTAATACTAATAACGTCCAACAAATTCCCGATGGGAAAGTCCGATCACTACGTCCGATCTTATGTACGCTTGCTAAATTTTAGAGATAATGTTTCGTATGCAACTATTTTGTCCATTATTGAATGTTGTTTTTACTTCTTACTCATTAATTCATTTTAAATCAGCCTAGCTGATCGTTCACCTTTTAGCATCTATGCTTCGAATTTGCTTTTTCTCCTTATGTATTCTTCCATTTCCTTGAACTTGATCTTTCGTTTATGATTTTTGTTATTGCAAAACGCAGCTTACAACTATTATATATTTTTAATATTATATGCCGCTATGCAACATAATCGGACCTTTCCCTGCGACTAGCTTGGCTTGGTCACACGTACTATCGAGTACTCATCTCTGTGAGGCAACAATAATTAGAATATTAAATACTATCATTCACGATATATTAAGTATTAATTTGATCAGCATCAAACTTTGATATTGATCAAGTTGTTTTCCTACAGGCAAAGAGGATCCAAACACTCATAGCCCCCAATCAGTCAGACCCACATACAATAACGTCAATCATTCAGCAAGCGTGCACCATTCTGGGGGATAATGAATAACTGTTTCCACGAATGTCAATAGCAATAAAATTTACTTAATTGTCATTTACAATATAATAACGTCTTCTTCGTGTGTCGTGAATTTGTTACTATTTTCATTGTGTTACTAACTCTGGTTAAATGGTTTACTCCGCCCAAAAGTTTTGACTATAGCTAACTATACGACCCTAGATCTATAACTATAGTTAGAGGTCATTGATGAAGGACGTCATCAATAACGTCCGACCGCCTTCGGACAGTTTTTTCTGCGATAGAATGTGTTATATCACTTTGGAGTGAACAACAGTGGCAGCGATAGCGGCTCATCATCTGGAAGTGGCGCTGAAATGCATTTCATAGGATATCGCCTGAACACTCGAACACACATTTATCATCAAAACGTCCATAACTTGTCCGGCACATACTGGCATCGCGTAACTATCTTCTCTTTTCATAAAAAAAGCGCAAGCTGCATCATTTCCTGCAATGAATTATCTTTGTCTTTTATAACATCAATCCATTTGAGCTTTGGCTGTATATGACTTGACTAATGCTGTTCACGGCAAGCTGCAAACTCGCGCTGCGTATTACAAGATGTCGTTTTCTCGCTCCGGCATTGTATCATTTCGCGTCTCTTGCAACCTCCCTAGGTGTCAGAACTATCTATATATTTACCGTCATATGGATATATATGCCGCGTTTGTGTGTGTGTATGTACGGGTGTCTCGTATATATATATATATATATATATATATATATATATATATATATATATATTAGTCATACATTCGTTCAACACATTCATTTCATACTCATAGCCCTATTTCCACATATATATCTCAACAGCTCAACGTTTTTGTCGGCCGCTTTTATTCTACCCATGATTGTTCGAAAGATAAACGGTTATCGGTCCCGGTCTGTTGTATAGTGTGTAGCCCTCTCAAATATTGTAGGACTCTTCATATAAGCATGACGTCATGTCGATACTTCACATAATCGGGATGTGGAGGATCTTGAGATTGACGATCATGATTCTATTCATATTGTCACAATTGTAATAGTACTTCTATAATTATTATTATTATTTCATCCAACGGTGCGACTGACAAGGAGAGAGCCGTGTGTTTCATGGACGTGAAAAAGTTTCTTCTGCTAATGCTGTGGTTACACCAGTAGAGAGCTCTCGTTTCCTCTGTCTGCAAGTACACAAACAGACAGTATTGTAACTACATAAAGGCATCAAAGTGAATGATAAACTCTTTAAGGTCTTTAAGGACTAGCATTCTATGGAAAAGTTTCTGATTAATTACATTGAGATAGTAGTGAACTTCCAATTGCTAATTATGAAACAAGGATGCGAAGTCCCAGCCAACATAAATCGATAAGTTATATAATAGAATTACAGAAGTAAGCACTTGCTGAGGCAAACCACTTCACTTTGCCTGCTTCGATATTCACTGAAACCTACTATCTTTAAGATTGCTCCTTTGTTCAGCGACCAGATGTGCACGAATCGTGTCCACATGTTCACATAACGGAATGTCCGGTGTTCCTGCCAAGCCCTGTACGGCTGCCGAAGGAAGTGGCGGAGGGGGCGCATTAGGTCGTCGGATAGAGCCCCCTGATGATTTAGTGCCTGAAAGGGCCTTACCGTGATATAAAGATAGTATAGAATTTTCAGAGCTTTTATAGCGAGACATAAGCAGATTGTACTATGCCTCGATTATTAGCCTTCGATCTATTTTTTATCGACATTTGTAAGCTGAAATAGCTATATACAGCTTGTTGTTATGTTAGGTAAGGGACTACCTTTCGCCTATCTTGTATGTACTTTCTAGAATCAGCGCAATGCATTCCGTTAAGAAGCTCAATTACGAGCATTGGGTTGATCTTGTGATGAGCAATGCTATCTATGTAGCTATAATCAACCTTCATTCAACATTTGCGGAGAGACAATAATTACGTTTTAGTTGAGGTGTAGCCTGCTTTAGTTGCTGACTGTACATTTGCGGTAGTTGTGGTGGCTGGTGTTGAGGTGGCGTTATTTGTACACCGATCTCAGTTGGTAGGTTTGATGTCGGGGTGTCAGTGACCTGAGGGCGAACCTTCCCAGGCGGTGGAGGGGGGGCTGGTCGAGCAGGCCTAATAACAGCCCGACAATCGACGTTAGATTCGATTGACAGCTTCCCATTGGCAAGCATCTGTATGTTTGCGTACGGTCCGCCGTTTTGTTCGTCATTGATTGCTGTTGTCTGGTGGGATCTGCCTTTAGCCATAATTCTCGGCCCAACCGCGGTTACCGTCTTGGGGATTTGGGTCTTATCGTAGAGGTTTAATAGGGGACCTTGGCGAGCTGCGTGTTTAACAGCAAGCTTGCGACGCCGTAGACGCCACTTAGCCAAAAGATCTTTCTTCGAAAATATTGTCCATGAGACGAAAAACAGGACAAGCGGTGCTAAGAACAGGAAGATGACGCTCAAAATGATCGTTGTCGTATATGACACATCTGTAACAAAGAAAAACAACAAGGCGTATCAATGTATTCTCTATGACACATTAAGCTGAGCTAACAGAGTACTTTTTGCGTCCGAACTTTTATTTTAGACACGAAATGAAATAACAAATGATTATCTTAATACCAACTACTGCTGTTAACAACAGAAAATCAAAGCAAGCTGTATTTTCAGTTGATGCGCCTCGACATACCGTTAGGATTGCTAAGCGGTCCACTGTCAATAGAACCCCCGTTTCCGGGGAAGTTACAGTATGGAGGTGCAAAGCCGTTATCGCAATGGCAGTGTCCCAGATGGTTGCAAGTCCCGTGACCGAAGCAGCCGTACTCACAAGGCGGGGACTCCAACTGGGCGAGTTCGACGCAGCGAGCGTTCAAGCACGCCTGGTTGAAACCACATGCAGCGCCGTTAGCTGCCTGGCCGGGATCCGGATCGGTTGCACCTAGATCCACGACTGCCGAACTATACACGGTCGATACAACGTAAAACCAATCGATTATGATTAGAACTGGGAGGGACTTGACGGACGCTGATAAATGAAGATGTTAGGCGGACGCTTCAAAAGCGAAAGCAAAACCGTGTACCAAAGGTACACGGTTTTGTTTTCGCTTTTTGTTACACGCTTTTTGTTATCCGTGATAGCAAGCAGAATACCGTTGTTTGAATGAGGTGTACACTTCATGGCTAACCAAAGAAAAGTTTCCATTATTTTCGATTTATCAAGTAACTGCTATATTAAGATTGACCCACCGGCAAGTATGAGTATCCTTCCCGATTCTGAGAAAGAATCTCGACACTTTAGCGGCTGATAGCATCCCATATTCGAGTCGCTCGTTTAGATGTGTACAGTGAAGTGTGCCGCACAGCGCGTCTCTGGTGACAACAAGAAAATTCAACTAGAGTTTTTAATGTCAATTTTCGGCGTAGCTCACCATTCAAATATAAGACAATCTATAAACGTAACGGTAGTTTAGTTCCCTATTATGTTTGTTCATTTTTAGCTGTGACGCATACGAACTTAGTCGTGGACTGGGTCGTAGACAGCACGTCTGGAAAAGGACTATACGGTTATAATAACCTAAACGTGCCGATCTTTCTTCTTATCGGACGTAACTTACTTGGATTTACATTTCGCGTAGATATTTCGAATTTTATCATATCCACAGCTTCCGAACTGTGTGCCATTCATATTAGCGTCGAAACAAGAACGGTGTCCGACTCTTCCTGTGGGTCCCCAAAGCTTCTTGCATTGCATCTCGTGGCTCGAACACGAACCCATAAAACAGTATGCCTGCAATGTCACGAAAAGATTAAAATAGACAAGTATAAATTAAAATGTTTAGACTAAAATATAGATATATATATTCACATATATGTACGCAGATTCGTCACAATTCAGCCTCTCTTAAAACAAAAATGGTTTATACACTAACTATTTATAACATTGTAATGTAAGGCCACTATAACATTTATTGTCGCAGCTCCACCCTTCAATCCACTTTGCGTCAAACTGAGTATAACAGTACTACTAACGTTTCCGTCACCGCATTTCACTCCATTGGCCTTGAAGACGTCTGCTGGGCAATCGGGCCGTTTCCCATCGCAGTGCTCGGATAGATCACATTCACCGTTCTCGACCCGGCATTTTAATCCAGGAGGTTTCGGCCTGCAGGTCTCAAGGTCGCAACAGGCACCATGGCCGCAGACCGAACCCTGCGTCAGTTTGCAAGTTCGGGCATCACAGCATCTCGTCATGCACAAGTTTTCCGGCCCACAATCGCAGTCTTCGCCTTCCTCGACAATGCCGTTACCGCACGAGGGGCCAACGATTCTTTTAGGCAGATTGTGCAGACAGTGGTCCATATGCTGTGAGAATGTCACGTTAATGGCTTCAATCGAGCAGGACGACCAGGCCGTTGGCGGTATATTAATATTTGACGCTGGATACATGAGGCAGCGAGACTGGGGGCATTGACACTGCCCCAGATCATCGTGCTCCATACCAAAATTGTGTCCCAGTTCGTGCGCGATGGTCGTAGCCACGACGGCAACAGACTCGTGGTGATCCTTATTCACGCCACCAGAATATCGGAACGTGCAGATTGGACCTTTTAGCGCCTTGCCGACTACATCTTGATCGAACGTCACGTCCCTATGATGAATGAATACATACATGTACATAAACAATAAGCCAATTAAGTAACCGCGAAGAAGTTAATCGTAATGGTATCCAATACTATTCGAAGTATTCAATTGCGAATCTACTATCTTTTATGATCTCTACTCTTTGTCATCATGTAGGCGAGCATGGTTTCTTAAAGAAAACAATAGTGGATTATGGTGGTAAATAAAACGCCGTCTGCATACACACGCAAATTAAAAGGAACGTGGCGCGGTACTAACGTGATTAGTTGAGCATTATCGTTAGGCATACTGCGTGCAAGAACTTCCATTCGATACCGAAGGAAATTATCGAGAGTCTTCTCCGCATTGAGATCGACCTCGATTTCGTCCCGTTGTGACCACACTTTGACACCGACCAGAATTACGAAGATATTAAGTGGCGCGTACAGGGCGTTCACAATATTCGCCACCTGATACACACCGAAAAGAAGACAATACACAGATGAACTCACAGCATTTCTAGATTCACCGTTATAAATGCTCCTGGGCTATGAATGGGCATATAATTCGGGGATAACATAGTCTGAATTTCTCTAAAAAATCTTCAGTTTGAGGTTATAAAGTCTAAAAAAGATGACATAGAATTTGAACCAATTGCAATTTTGTAAAATTACTTCAGTTAAAGTGTCGGCAAACGCTAAGAAATGTTTTTCAATGGATGGCCTCCCCAATCGGTTGAGGCGGTCAAAAACAAAAACACTAACGACATATACTACTTCACTGGATGAGCAGCGAGTATGCGTTTGATGGGGAGAGCTCTGAAGCTTATATCGTGCTACTAAATTAATCTGCAATAAGAACTATGGGCAGATTTATACAATAGTATACAGAAGAGCAAACGTGGACATTAACGCCATAGATATTGTGTGGTTGGCATCTCCTTCTAAGACGTTTTCGAAAACGATTGAGCCGTCATCGTCCGTACGAAATGTCATGAAGATTTTTAGCGTAACGATACGCATGTAACATTTTCCTATCCGAGAGATTACTAAGTTTGATAATCTGACCGAAGGGAGTGAAAAGACCTAAGCTTAAAACAACACAGCAATGTAGGTAGATGAGAAGATCGCCGAAAACAATGTTCCCGCAAAGCTACCCGCCTCAGAAAACAGTTGGTGGCCGGACGCCTTGGCGACTAGGATGCTAATACGTCAAGATAAGCAATCTTATTGCGCTCAAGTCAGTGAAGAAGGACAATATGATGCTTATTTGTACCGTATGCAATGTACGAACTATGCAATTAAATATAAGCGTATAATCAGCTTATGTAAAGTCCTCTCTGTTTCTAACTTTTCATTTGTTCATTTTAAGGGCAGATTGAATATTGTACTGGGACAACCGTCTCCTCAAGTTTATTAGCGGACAAAATCATGTCTACGTTTTGTATAATCTTTGTATGCGGTAAAAAGGTGAAATACGGTAAGAAGGAAAAAAAGAAAAAGCAGCTGCAAATACATTTGGATCTAGAAATGATAAGGTAAGGTTATTTTTTTACATATATAATCAGCGTCCAATTAAAAACTCAGGTAAACGTGATGAAATAGTTCTCATTTTTTAAAGCTGTCCGCGCAGCACTAATGCGAGATATCTTTCAACGGTCTTTGATTCATGGAAATTAAGTTCCTCTTTCTTAAACCTATACCCTGCATTTCGATAAAGACATTCGCGAATATTTTCGAGACAAACAACTTGATATGTAAAGTTGACATGTGGTATTTCGACAATCGCAGCCATCGTAACCTTGCCGGAATCGGATTTTAGCGCGTCCAGTGTTCGCGGTTCGCGCTAATACCTCGTACTATGTACAGCCGGCGCGTTCTATCTCACCATTTAACCATCGCGGCTGTTGGAGGCGCTCAACAACTAAGCGCTAATGTTTAAGTGAGCTTGATTCATTGAGTGTTTTCTTGTGACCTTACGTTTTTTCGCACTGTAAAGCAGAAAAGAACAGACGTCACAAGACGAGTAGAAAACACGGATTAGCGGACTGCTTCATCAAGACAAATGTACACAACGCAAAACTGTTTAAATGTTTCCAGCAGCGTGCGGTCGAGACAACGTTGCTACAACGCCGAGGGAATCCTCCTGCGCTGTCGCCCCGTAAAATCGGTAACGAGAATCAAAAAAGGCCTATTACGAAGCGAGAGAACCGTGTGATCATTTACAAGCTTCAAAAAAAAATATGTTCGCCTTGTATAATATTCTCCAAAGTAGATTAAAAGATCGTAAACTCGCCGCATCAAAAACTTTGCTTCGCTGCTGACTCAAACGGGCAGGGTTCAAAAACAGTAGACCCGTCACGAAGTTTTGCTTGAATACTGAAATAGAACAAGCCTATCTTCATTGGGCAAACCAAGTCAAAAGTTGTACTATTGCATCCGTAGAACCGTAGAAAAAGTTCATTTCTCAGACAAATCTATTTTGAAATTCTTAAAAGAACACTCAGCGTGCTTTCGGACGTGTTGGCGAACGATTTCCCGAAAACTACATCGTGCCGAAAATCCAACATCAAATGAAAAGTTACGATGTTGCCTATGATTGTTTGCGAAAACACTGGCATGATATATGTTTCGCTCGTGGAATATAAAGGTAGCAAAAACATGCTGAGATTATCTAGCCTATTCGTTTTTCAGGTGCTACCGCGGGCTGGCGTTCCATTCTCTAGAGAGAATCGTAAAAAAAAACAGATATTCCAGACTTCAGTGGAAAAATCACTAATGTATGTCAACAAGGTCTCATAGCTGTGCCAGCGAAAAACTGCTTCGGAAGCATGCTCCAAAAAGGGACAGTTTTTAATAATCGTCGTTGCAAAAAGCGGTGCAAAACACTGGTTCTGGCTATATTACATAGTTCGTCAACAATTTGCAAATATTTGCTGATTTCTTTATCGACACGCTAGGTACTAGTGCAAAACAGAATAATGCAAGTTGAAAATCATTCAAAAATGTCTCACTTCACTGCTGCACGATCGGCCTTGAAAATTGAGACTATCTGACAAAGTTACTTGGTTTGACTGCATACCGACCATGTAATTATGACCGATGTAATATTTATGGCGGATATTGTGCCAACGTTGTTTTAGCGGATAGGTTGACAAGTCGGACTTACTTGTTTACTTCGCTCAAATAGTTTCTTTTCGTCCCTTTCAAATTTGACGAACTGCTTATAGTCGTGAACCATAACCATCTCGACGAATCGCGACCGTCCGTTGGCGCCTGAAGGGCCTTTTTTTAGCGTTGTTAATGCTGCAATTCCTCGTTTGCGTCTATTTTTTTTGTCCGAGGTTTTACCTCCGAGAGGAAAACGTACCGACTTTATCGTTCCACTGAATCCTAAAAATTTACCGAATTCAATTCAAACGTTGTTCCGGTTTCTTAGAAGATATGTAAATGAGAAAAACAGAATTAACAGCAAATATCACTACGTATAAAAGGAGTGTAGCTCGCATCACTTCGTGTGAGCCCAGGCCCAAATGGTGAGATGACGATGACACACATATTGGTACGAACGAACGGGGCCATTTGAAATAACAGAATAATGCTTCAAAAAGTCTATTTTTATATATATTTTTTAATTTTGTTTTCTTTTTTGTCATTCATTCTTCGTCATTCGTTCTCTTTTTAAAAGTTACGTAATTTTCAATTTACGTATCGTGTGACGCCATTAAAATTGGCAGTCCCCACTTTGCGATCCTACTGTCCCAACGATTCTCGCTTAGGCACTTAATGACAGTTTCTGGCTCCATTTTTTGTCAAATATAAAAATATATTATAGCTCTTACTTCAATGGACCTCATCGCCGCCGGCATCTGAAATCAAGGTAACACTATAGGAACAAGCAAAGCTAGACAACAGATAGTTTCTTATCTTACCGCATTTAAAGTGCGTGGGAATTTCGAGACTACCTCCTTTTAATATGAGAGAATGTGTTCCGTTCGAGTGAAGATGATACACTTCGTCGTTATCCCAAATAATGCCCCTGAAATAGCAGATACAATATCTTAGATTTCAATAGGAAATACGTCATCACATTTAGAACTTGTTTTTATTTAGAATAGCATTTCTACAGTATTCTTTAGTAGGTGCGGGAGCATCATACGTCTATAGGTGTGGCGCCAAGATGGACCGTAAAGCGCAGTAATTGTTATCTAGATTTGATTAATTGCTTAACTATATAGCAGTGATAGCAACTTATGTAAGACACCTAGAGATACTTATAGTAATCATATATATGGTTAGAGCTTGGTAGACAGGTTTAATCGCTGGTCATTACGGATTTAAGATATTTAATGTCTTTTGACAACAGCTACTATAGGGTCAGAAAGAAAATAAATTGCTGTCCCCTTTATACTTACTTACTTTATACTTTTAAAGCCTAAACTGAGGTAGCAAAACACAACAAAAATATATTATATGCATTCGCTACGCAATACATGTGCATAAATCGAGCCATTTAATATTTATCTATCGCTATGTGGATATTTTTAAGGCCAATCTCTAGTCATTCTTATGTCGTTCCAACTTTAGGTTCAGTGGCCTGATTTTAGGACATCACTGTCTGTGGAAGATCTTAGATGCCCTAAACAGTTTTTCACGAATGAATGCTTTGAATCTCAGGAATCAACTCATTTTGCGTTGCTAACGAACGACTACCTTAGCATAAATAAATCTACGACAGTTCACAATGCTTTACCCAAATGGCTCGTTTAGGACAAGGCCAAGTGCAGGTGTACGTCTGAAGCAATTTCGACTATGAAAAACTATCTCGAAGTGAGTAAATAGAAGCTTCTCCGATGTGCGGCTGTCAGAGATACAAAAAAGGTCGCGGGGCAACGGGGATAACGAACAGGCAGCATCCGAACAAAACTCGTCTAACATAAAAAAAATCCTAGAAAATCATCTCTTTTCATGCTGTGTTGGCAGCAAAGCCGTTTGAAAAGACCATTCGTTAGATCGGCCATCTTGGGAGGAACCGCAAGTCGTACTTTTAACGCTGAAATAATATAGTGCGCACAGATTAGCATGGATTACCACTGATCAGCATGAAATTTCAAGCATATATATATATATATATATATATATATATATATATATATATATATATATATACATTTCATACTGATTATCTAATGTTTACAAAAGAGAGTTTAGACCAAATAACAGTATATCGTTTACTTTAATTATATATATATATATATATAAAATTAAAGTAAAGTTTTGTAAACATTAGATAATCAGTATGAAATATACTTGTTGCTATTCATATAACAATCATGTGGCTTTTAGTAACGCATTGCGTAGAACTGCTCTTTGACCGTTCGTTTACCTGTAACCGCGTATTTTCCGCAGGAAAACCAAGATTCTTCTGTGTTGCTGCTTCAGGTACGCGGTTAATGGACCTTTCCCCAATTTCTGAAATCAGCCTTGCTAAAGACTAAAAAGAAAACTTGCAACGAAAAGGAATGGCTTTACAGCCAGCTAATTCTAGAGTGGAATGGGTATCTAGGAGCGCCTAAGTGGCGTGAAGCAACAGATATATGCTTTAATGCAGGACCTTTGATAAATTGATGAAAAAGCAGTCTTAATCCATAGTATTCAGGTCCTATCGAATGCTCCGATTAATCCTACGGCACAACATCATGTCAACGTATCATTTTTCCTTTGCATGTGTCCGTGAAACCGTCAATTTAATTGTAACGGTATGGGGCTTCAGAAAAGCTTTTTACTGGGGAAGACTACAAGGAAGTAATTTCGCTGCTGCAAAATCGAAGAGGTTCACTTATGTGCCTGACGCGAAATGTCAGTGGCCTTAATTCACAGTTTTGTTTTGCTATGTCACTGCATAAAAGCCTTATTTGACCCAACGGTGTTCCGAAAAGTTACATTTAACTTTTACTCTTGCAATGTAAAATCTTATGCATAGGCAGTTTTGAGAATTAACTTGATGCTATTAGATATATATTTCTTAGAAGACTGGCCCGCGTCGTAACTTCTGTTTCGTCGCAATAATCGCATCTTGTTAGCAAGTAAGTTCTTTTCCCGTTCTGCTATCTTCGCTTTCTAACTTTCGAGTCTTAATCATAAATTCCTGACCCGTCGACTGACAATAACAGAAGCAACAGCAAGAGACGATGTCCATCTTTGTCAAATTAAGGAGAAGCTTTTCTTAAACTTATCAAAATTGTTCAAATGGATGAAAGTTCATCTTGCCAGATTCGAAGCTGAGACAGAATCGTCGGCTAACTGCATATCCAAATGAAAATAGTTCCCGCTTACAATAAGTCCGCTTTAATGTCTAACCGTACTCAGGCTTGATCTGGGTGTATGAAAAACTGGACATACGTTGTACGCGTTTGATGTGACTGGCGCGCATTGGAAATATTTAAAATATTCATTACGTCATATGTTTGCCTTAGTATATATTTATGCGCACTGATATATGTTGATTGAGAGCATTTGTCCGAGAAGACTTGTATCTAAATTGCGCTTGAAAATCAGCTGTATTCAACATCTAGTCAACACATACCAAATGCCAATGGCGACTGAATGAACAGCCTTTTACCTATTCAAGCTGGTCAGTACAAACGCGCTTACGTATGCACACAGATTGGCGGCATATCTATCTATACATATCTCTTCATTTCGATGGCGTACGTAGCGTATATTCGTCAGAGCACAACATGTCGTTTCTATGACGTATAAATAAACGTTCGATGGAAATACCCAAAAATTAACGTTGACTTAACTTGTCGTTGTTGGCGTGAACAGTAGACACTCTTTCGTTGGCGGAACATCCCATCCAAAGGAATTTGGCGCTAGGTATATCGAATCTGGATCTAATTGTTTGTTGGCCAATAAATAGGCAGCTTCTCGTCCTACTTTTCCTTCTGGTGTTGAATTATATTATCGATATGTATGTAAGTTGTAGCTAACTAATGGGACACTTTTTACCAGAGTCGAATAAGAGTACGCTCTCGTAGTCGCCCAGGCATCATCATTATTGTTATTGTTGCGATTGTTATTGGTATTGTCATCAACGAAATACTCCGAGTGAGAGATGTAGATCAGACGACAAAGGTAACTGGAGCATAAAGAAAGCAAAACTGGCCACAATGGCTGGTAACTATCACGATAAATTTTTTTATAGAAAGATTTTTAGCCTATTTTATATGGTGGCAAAGTGTTTGATTTTAAAATATCTGATCAGATTAGATGAAATCAATAGACCTTTAATCCAAGCAATAAAGAGACGCGCTCTGATTGTTAATTAACTATTGTTGATAAAGTAGTGAACGTTTCCATAAGGAAAGTTCCATACCCATAGATCTTAACAGGAGTAAATAGATGACTATATAAAGTGTTTGACTAAAATTACCACTTTTACTATAATAGATGATGTTCTGCTAACTCACTTATAGTCTTATAATGATTTTGCTTACGTGTGATCGTTAGCCAATTATTCTTACGAAGGCTAACTTTAGACAAGCCTTGATAACAATTATTAAATGCCAGTTAATTCGTTTTATTAACAATAAGTTTTAATATGTAGTAAAGAGATCAATATTATTTCACTAATGGTAGCTAGAGGTGTATATGACACATAAACTCACTTGACGGTTTTCCATTAGGTATAATCAACTGTAATTTATACAAAGAAACGTGCAATTTATAGGTTAAGCTGTTTTTCTCTTATTATTGTTTAGAAAAATTAATTCATTCCCTTCATCTATTTTCATGCATTTATTTAGGTAAATGTTATGGCAAAGCACAAGCGGCAAAAAGCACTGAGAGGTCAATAGAATAATTCTCTTTTATCATTTCGAAAAATACTTCTATTTCATTATTTCGAAATTGGCGCGGTTCAAAGAACCCAATCGCTCCACAGAGACTTATCAGGTGAAATAACAAACCCCGCAGAGCGATTTTTTCCATAAGCTGCTACAATAATGCTGGATTCTAACTTTAAGCTTCTTCAGCGTGGATTGGTACAGCCTTGAAGTGAACTACAAGTTTCTACCAACGAACAATGTTTTAATCCAAAGTTACCAATAGCAGTCTTACCCGAGCTGAGGACAAGTACTGAGTGCAGTACGGGAATCCTTCGAATCTATTAGGTGACCTTGCCAATGGCAACCTTCAGAACCCTGAAAACACGCACGGAAAAGAGCCATCACATTGACCAACACACATCAAAAGCATTTAAATCGCAGTACGATAAGTAACAAAAAAGGCTGGAATGACCTGGACCATTTTATTGTTCCGGAACGAAGAATTTATTCAAGCCGTAACGAAACCAAAAAGATAATCTCTGACTTAAAAATAATAAGCAAATAATACGAAATATCGCGTTTTCGATTACAGATTAATAATCTCAATCGTCTAAACATAGTAGCTCCAGCTATTAATTCATTTCGTTGGGTGTTTAGTTTGTAGGATAATATTTACTCTAGTTTGTTCTTTGGAAAACTGTATTCATAGGTGTGCACGTATAGTTATTTGGTTAAAAAATAAGCGAGCATCTATTCTATAAGAAAACGGAACGTCCATTGGGTGGTTCTGATTTTTTTAAACTAAAAAGTGTATTTGCAGATACGGACGCATCTGAAAAAGAGTCTGTCCTAGCACCAGACGTGGTCCAAGTAAATGAGAAACACCTATTTGTCGACTAAGCGCTTCAAATTATTCGCTTAGCATATAGAATTCAACGGTATGAATAATCTTCAGTGGCCTACACATATAAACGTCGTCAACATACAAAATTAGAAATGTCAGAAAATATATTCAGGAGCACCGTTTATGGAAGCAGGTTGTGATCCTATTCACGGCCTTCTATTTCATTACGTCGGACCATAAGTTCCCACGTTTTTCCCTAAATGGAAAACATTACACTTTTCATTTCTTTATCCATAAGCTATCATATTATGCATTCACTATAATTGTTCACAACTTTCTTCAATTTCTCTACCAAATACTGTATGCCGTTTTGCCAGAAAGTAGCGGGTCTCGTCTCAAAAAAGTTGTGAGTTGCTGATCCGGGTCAGCAGTAATTAGGTAATTTTCCAATGAATAGAAACGATGGAAATCCGTTCGAGAATGATAGAGGGTGCTGAAAAATTTCTTGTTCCAAGTCCATAAGGACAGCTTTGACGATTTTTGTGTTATTATAATCTGATTTCCTCTGCCGGATTCTTCCCTTCAAATAACTTAATTGACTCGATGCGACTGGGCCAAGTAAACGTGTCAACTAGCTGTATTGTTCATGGAAAACGACGGCTAATGAATCATATCCTTGTAGTCCCATGGAATTTTTTTTTTAGATGACCGAACCCTGGGCCTTGCTTATTTTTCTGAAGCCACCTGTTCTCTTTTTTTTTCTCTCTTTCTGGTTCATTTGGTATACAAACACTGCCTTTCGTCATCGGCGCCAACTCTGGATAAAAATGTGCATTGCGACCACGCAACGCTAGATATCGGACGAGATGATGAGATGCAACGTTAAGCCATAAATTCTTGTTGGGTTCATGAGGTGTTCAGACTCGAATTTCTATACAAAGCCCAAAGCTCTACCCCGGCATCTCGTTTTTCCGGTCTGTTCTCGAGTTGTTTGTGGCCCAAGGATGCCTTCAATTAGTCGTCACCAAACTCACGCGCTCAGCCAGAGCGAGGACCCTTCCATGCACCGAACACCTTAGCGAACTACCCTTGAGCAGTGCTCTTAAGTAGCGCCATTATCATACACAGGGCAAATGTTTCGGGCTGTTTCGCTAGCCTTTTGGTCTTAACAAAATGCGAAGGGTGTTAGACTTACATCACTTACTTTTGTCCACCCGGAACACCAATTTTTGAGCAGTTTTTTCGAGTTGAAATTGCACTCACAACACCAGAATACCAATACAGCACGTTAAATCAGGAAAACATTTTCGAACAGTATATCGGGAGGGAGGCTCTTGGAAAGGACGGGAACTTTTCAAGCAATCTAATTAAAATGGAGTTAATGTCAGAAAGCCTACCTACAATTAAAACATGGCATATAATTTTTCTACGTTGGTACATCTGAGTGTGTATTTTCCCTTAAGAGTAATAACATTTAGCCCACGTAATATATTTTATGTATAATTGTAGGGATGTGTACATGAGATACTGCGCTGGGTTCGCATCACATTATGCTGACCTACGACTATACATAGTTTTCTGTCCCAGTAAACTTCTCTATGGCACTGAATTAGTCACTAGACAAAGCTAATGACTCCTAATCGCCTGTGTGTAAAAATGAAAATGGCCTAAAGGGAACAAACAAACAAAGTGAACAACTGGTCAAGATCTCTTTTTTTTTTAGCTGATTTCCAGGACAAAAATGGCGTTGTAAGCGACAGCCAATTCCCGAGGCTTCTGACGCATTTCCTATCAACGCCAGCGAATGGACGTGTGCTGACTGGTTAAGACTTTCTTTTTATTTTTCAATGTATGCGTTCCTACAAAAATTGTTGTGATGATGTTACTGCACGAATATATATATATATATATATATATATATATATATATATATATATATATATATATATATATAGCATAAGTCAAATGCAAGAACAGAACATAAAAAATCGTACGTCAATATTCCTCAGGTAACAAATGTTTAGTATGCTGGAATGCGGTACTATGGACTATTATATAGCAATAATAAAACACGCCAGCACTTCAATACTTACTGTTTTCTTTATTGATTGGATTCTAGCTAAAGGTTTATTTGTTGTTGATTTTTGCACGTGTTGTGTGCCTCTATCAGGCGTTAGGAGACGGCAGCTAGGCCAATACAATGCTCTACGTTACAGAAGCTCCTGTACGATCTCCATCTTTTAGATCCATCTGGATCTACATAAGTTCACAGGCAGTGTAGCGCATGCGACCTTGGCCTATTTTGATACGTGGTCTCTTAGCCTCTTCTCGCGTTAGTACCGTCTAGCAACTTCATAGCGCCAGACAGCTCAATTCGAGGTATCCTTCGGTCGACCTGAGTAGCACTTTTTTGCCATATGACGTGACAAACTACAGCAACATCTACTACAGGTATTCTTCATCTAACTCATAAATTGTTAGGCGATAACGAACTGGAAGAAAGAACATTAATTTCCAATGCTGCATTCATACATCTATCTTGCCTGACTCCATTACGTAGCTATTATGGTATGGTAGTTTGTAATAAACCCCCTACAATATACTCACTTTTTATTACCGCATAGCTTGACTTCTATGATCGCTTCTAGGCTTCCAGTTTAACAGCAGAAAATTCTTACCAATACATTGGATAACTTATCTGTCTCGCCTGCTATTACTAAGATGACATGTTTAGGCTTATTGTTTGCTTAATCCTTAAAATTAATTGAGAGTTTGTAACAGCAATAGTTTGTATGGTAGAATACGAAAAAACCTTACAAATCAAGACAAAAATTTGAACAGTTTTGAGATATAGCGAAACAAGGAAGTCAACGGAACAAGAGCTCGTGTTGTGCCAGTAAATTCAAGCAAATGGTAAGTAGCACGATTTTCCTCTGCTTGATATTAACTTGTACTGCATATAAGAAAGTTATGTATATATGAAAAGATGGCACCGACTTGAGGTCTCGTAACCTCGTTCAGACCGGTAACGCTATTGCGGGCAGGTTAAATATACCATTAGCTGCGGTTTCAGGTACCACTTTGAATAAATCTCGAACACGCAACTAACATTATATAATTTCACCCTGACGCAGTCCTCTACACACGCACGTTTATAGCCGTTTTCTCTTAACTTTAGTTTTTCCATCTCCTGTTTGCATCTCTGTTCGTTCAGGAATCGTTTTTGGGAAAAGAACACGCACGATTTCCAACTTTACCACTGATGTTCCACGGCTTTCTGCGTGGCTGCGTGCTAAGTTTGCGTAGGAAAGCAAAGGGTAGTTTTTCCAGAAAATCCTAAACACTGACTGCGGTTGAATGTACGTGCAAGATCTAGCAGACACCGTTTATTAACGTATGCAGTAATAGGCCAGCGCAGGGATTTGTGGTTTCACGCTTTATAATACTTTTACAATGACATTTTTTTTGACAGATAGATCGATTTCGTTTAACGCTTACATTACGCCTAGATAGTCTACCACATGTATATCGGTGACCTTTCACCGTGTCGACGCGACCAACAAGTAAATTCGGCGTTTCACCAATTCATTACGTAACTCAAGGGCTGCAAAGCTTTGGTGACTCTAATTATCTAACATGATAGAATCCATATTATATATGAATATATTTTTTTTGTTATATACGCAATTTTAGAGTGTGGTGCTCTGTATGCGATGAATGATCAATAATTACTCCCGCCAACGACACATTAATACTACATAATTTATGCGAATAAGGAAGATAGTTTTTCAAAATCTAATATGTTCTTTCTATACCTCATACAATCCTATAACAATGTGTTTAAACGTTATTATGTGTATGTAAATGCCTTATCATAGCTAGCTGATTTTATTAGCCAACCGGGTAGACGACTTTTCGGTTCCCCTGCGTTTCGAATGCCTGATATTACCCAAAAACTCAACATGGCCACCATCGTTGCTAACAATAATAGTGTAAAAGGTCTTTGTTTTTTCCTATCCGGTAACAGCCACCGGATCCCCTCCAACTATCTGATTTACTTCTTCTAGACGACCACGTACACCAAAGCAAAGATTGAAGCAGTTTCGCTCGTCATGTTCTCTATTTTTCCTTTTCTTTTTGTCCCACTCTTGATCAGTGGTGTGATCGGATTACGGTGGGTCGGGGGACTAGCTAAGCTGTTCCATGGTACTCTAACACGACTTTCATCCCCTTTTTCTGGCTTTGGAAGCAGTAGCGGCACTCATCCGTGTTCCCAGACACGCTAAAGGGATTTGTGCCACTAAGTGCAATAAGGCCTTAATAAAACGAGACAACGAGGAGGAACAGACGAGTACTGACATGCAGGTTAGGCTATCACACGGGCTGGTTACCACGAATAGTAAACTCTCATGAAGAAGAATTCGCACTTCTTGAAGATGCCGTCCGTAGCTGTGACCCTGGATTACGACACTTCTTACGCCAAGTACATACTCATGATTTTCGTATGATTTGCGTGTTCTGCGACGAAAAT